CTGTGTGTGTGTGTGTATATATATATATATATATATATATATATGAGGAGTTCTTCAAAATGTCAAAAATGTGTATGATGAATAGACCCATGGATTTCAATTTTTTGCACCAAAATGAACTTGTACTTTAATTCCATTTTCCACACATTTTTTGAAGTCCATATATATGTATACACCCACACATAATATAATGTATACATATTTATTTTATATTTTTAGAAAGAGATTTTTGCTATAGGGCGTGTGCGTTTCCTGGAGAGACAGAGTCAGAGAGACAGAAAGGTGGAAATCACTCCCCAGGGGGGATGGCCATGGCGCAATCCCTCCTTCTCCATTCTCCACTTGGGATTTTGGGCATGCGCGCACACATGCCCAGCATGAGTTTTAAGCTGCTGGGTCTGGGACTCAAACCATGATCAACTATGTGGGAGTCCACTGACATAACCATTACGCCATATGTTGGTCCCGATATAAACACATGTATTAATCACATGGATTCTCCCCATTTCACTCTAAATTAGTTTAGAGGATTGTTGGCCTGATCTGAGTTACATTAATTAGAAAATTGTTGTAAAGTTTCTATGATCACTAGTGTGAGTAACGTTAATTAGAGCCTCTACCCAGTATCGTCAGTTATATTACTTGATTTCCATTTTACACTGTTTTTCTTTGGTTTTAAATGTCTTCATCAATTTCCTCTTATAAAAAGAAGTAGAAGCTTATTATGGAATGATTTTCACCAGTCAGTGAAATCAGTCCTGTAACTTGCAGCTTGTAGGACTTGTTTTCCCCAAAGAAGAAAAAATCCAACTGACTGAAGCAAAGATACAGCAGTAGCAAGGCATGTATTTTTCCACTCCATCTGTCTCTTGCCATTAATTGTATTTACACAAATAAATCAAAGAACGTTGTATTTGTAGGGTTGACAGTATGATCAGATTGAAGGTACAGTGGTCAGCCTTTTGATAGTCCTGTCATCCCTGCATGCTAAAATTCCCACTCTTGAGTAGTTTGCTCCTCTACCAGTGTGTGGGCTAAACCTAGAGAGCCCTCTAACAAATAATCCAGGGCAGAACTACACAAAGCCCGTGGCTTCTGACTTGGGCTCTCTGTCATCCCCTCTCCCTTCCCCTTCCCTTTTCTCTCTTCATCAACTGCCCTGTCATGAGGACACTCGGGCAGCCTATGGAGAGGGCTCCAAGAGAGGAACTGGGATATCCCACCAACAGCCACTTGAGTAATTTTGGAAGTGGATTCTCTAATTTCAATTGAGATCAGTGCAGGGACCAGCAGATGGCCTAATGGTTACATTGTTGGATTCCCATGTAGTCGACCACAGTTTGAGTCCTGAACCTGGTGGCTTAAATTCAGGTTGGGAGCATATGCGTGCATGCCCAAACTCCCTAGAGGAGAATGGAGGAGAAGGGATTACAACATGGCCATCCCCTGGGGAGTGATTTCTCGCCTTCTGTCTCTCTGTCTCTCTCTGTCTCTCTGGCGAGCATACAAGCCCTATAGCAAAAAAATCTCTGTGAGAAAAAAAAATTGAGACCAGCACAGCCATGGCTGCTAGCTTGACTGCACCTCAGGAGAGACCCTGAGCCAGAGGCACCCAGCTAAGTCATGTCCAGATTTCTTGGCCCGCAGAGGTGATAAAGGTTTGTTGCTTTAGAGTAATTTTGCTATTCAGCAATAGATAAGCTACTACAGGAAGTCTTGGAATTGTATAGTCAATGTGAATCTATTAGTTGAAACCTGACTTCATTTGTTTTCTTCTGGAAAAGTTGTAGAAAATTACAAGACTGAAGTCTTTTTCTCTCTGTCTTTTGGGATAAGCAGTTATAATTATAATTATAATTATAATTTAAATAGGATATCATAGAGATCCATCATAGGGATTAACACTAATTAGAACTAAAGGACTTTTTTTTGTGAAAGTCAGCGCTCTCTTTACAATAAACAGTTGCCCTTTGATCATTTATTTCTTATAAACATGGTGTTTGTGTGTGCACGTGCATGTGCATATGCGTGTGAATAGCTCTATGTTTAGTTGAATGTTAGTTTAATGCTTGACCAGGCTTTCATTATTGGTGGAAGCATGGAGGAATAGGGGTTTGTATATGCATCTCCAAAATGGGCTTTAGATTAAAATTAGAGCTAAGAGACTTTTTGCATTTACATATACTTTACACAGTTTTTTTTTTTTTTAATGTGGTTTGCTATTTTCAGGCTCCAAGAATAAAAGTTTAGACGTTACTTTGAGTCTCCTTTTATGGGTGAAAAATCTCATTACAGCTCTAATTTTTAAAATATTTGACAAGCAATTATCATAACAAATAGTTTCAAATATTTTTGGCTTTCCCAGAGATTGAAAGGTGAAAATGCTCATTTCTTTTGATGGCAATAGAGGATTTGTTATTATTCTCACAAATATGAGCACTGTGCAATGGAGTTTTATAAATCATGTCACCTTAAAAAGAAAATGAGCATTACTGCTATAAAAGAGGAATACACTCTTTGGAACAATGCTTCAAAAGGCAAATAAATTATTCAAATGCAGTTTTTTTCCTCAAGGTGTTTTTGTCTTCACTTCTCTGGAATGGTTCCTGTGCTTATGAACTCCCAGGTCCTTTCTCAGTCCCAGTAAGTCAGTCAACTGAACTGGACATCTATTGAGTATCTTCACTCAGTACAATGTAAGAGAAAAGCAAAATGAACAGCTAGGAGACAGACATCCCCAGGCTCGACAAGCATGAGTTGAGATAAAACATGCAGGTGAAGTGGTTGAAGTACATTTATACCAAGGAATGTCCAAGTCAGGTTACAACTGAATTCTGAAAAATCATGCCCAGGTATACTGAGATGTTAATCCATGCAAATATAATTCTTGACCAGAATGTTTCTTTGTTCTTGCTATTCCCTTTGTGTGACCTCAATTGCTGTGAGTCCCTTTCCATTCACTGCCATATCCTCAGGGCCTAGGGCAGTACCTAGCATGTCATAGCATACAATTATAAATATCTGTTGAACAGTTCAGTTACTCTTACCCCTCCAGGCTGTTCAAGAAAGCTAATGGACAGCCAAACATGGGTGAAAGTTTTCTGGTCATTAGAGGAAAAAACTCCTTTCAAAGTACTATTGGTTCGTGACTTACATATAAGATCTGGCGCTTGGCCTCAGTAACTTGCCATCTAGCTGGTTTGATGTGACCTGAATGATTTTTTAGAACTGTTGGTGGTTTATAAATTATGAGAGCAATCTGTGCTTTTCATGGATGGAGTGATACAGCTGTAGTTCAAACTAAGGAAGTATTTGTGAAGTACTAAATAGTGCAAGGTGTAGGAGAACTGGGATGATTCTATTGGGTAAGACTTTTCTGGAGGACCTCAAAGGAGAATAAATCATCCTCGAGAGAATAAATCAGGCACTAATGTTTGCAAACCACTTAGATCAGTGCTCGGTCCCATAGCAAAAGCTGTATGTGTGTTTATTAAATAAAGTGCTCAACTATTATTTTTATGTCAACAAACTTTTATTTTCTTCTTTACAAAAATAAAAAATATATATAACAAGGCAGGTCAGCACATGGCCTGATGGTTGAGGTAACTGAATCGTTAGAGTCCTAGACCCAGTGGTTTGAAAAACATGCCAGGTGTGTGCGTGTATGCCCATAATCCTGAAAGGAGGGGGAGGTGGAAAAGTGATTACGGTGTGATCATGCCCCATAGGGGATGCTTTTTCAGTTCCCCTCTCTCTTTCAGGCAAGGGTAGGTACACACCCTCTGGCAAATTAAAAACAAAAAAAGGAAAAGTAGCTTTATCACATTTTCATAGGTTGCCCCTTCGCAAAAGCACACATTAGAGAACCACAAGAGAACTTACTAGTCTGATATGACTAAAACACGTACGTTAACTCTAGAAACCAATTTAGGTCTACAGACCCTAAATCAGAGGATCACATGGACCCAATAAGATCATCAGAGCGAAGAGACCAATCCTCACAAAGATCAACAAAGTAAGGTGACTGCACAAAATAGGCCCCCTGAGCCTCTGCTTGGTACTGTGGGGCCTGGGCATGCTCTTCTTCATTGAGGACATAAGGAGGACAATCACAGTTGGGCCTTTCAGTGCACTGTGTCAAGGTAAACACTTCATGGTCTGTCTCGTCATTCTGGGTTACAGTGCTATCTTCAGTCCATGGCATGGGGCAGGGTGAAGTGAGCCATGGGGACTGTTTGCTGGTAATGCATGACACAGGGATCATATACGTAGATTTTGTGCCCTTAGAAGCATAGTAGAGCTCAGAGCTGTACATAACCTCATTCTCAGAGATGGCTTCGGCCCTGATGCCACATTCAGTAACACGGTAGGTGAACTCATAAATATGTGGTCGCACATGGTTGGGAGGGCAACCCAGGCCCAGATGTAACTCGTGAAAGTATACATATACTTTGGCAATCAACACATAAGGGTGTACAGAGACCATGAACCAGTCAGGGGAACACAGCACATTAACTTGATTTTGTACAGTACAGGCCAAAAACATAGAGATGAGGAGGACCATCTCTCCCATCAGCTTGAGGGTTTTCATTTCTGCAGCCGATCAGGTAAAAACCCACAGGAAACAGGAAGCTGTCCAATCAGGATTTCTAAAACACACACAAAAAAGAGGCAAGTCATCTTTCCTATTGAAAGTTCAAACATGATCTTTTTGGTTTGTTTTAAGTCAAAGGCTGTTCCTAAACCATTAAGAACAAAAAAAAATTTATGTGAGAAAGAACTGAATTTTACTCTTATTATTGGAACTCACAAATTAATGGATGACTACCAAGGCTTCTTTAAGTGACTTTACCATGCTCTGCTGGTGTAAAACACATATCCGTCATATGTAGAATGAAAATCTACGGTTTTTGCGTGTAACCCCAACATGAAACTAGAACAATTTTTGTGCCCAATCCTGAATAAGGAGACAGGAGATATAGTTTAATTCAAGCTGGCAACACTTTCTTCTTGAAGTGCCTCAGTGTCCTCACATAGATCATATTAATGAACCCTCCCTGTTGCCTTTTGTTGTTGTTATTTGCAACAAATTTAATGAAATAAAAGATGAATGGGCCAGCCCATGGCATGGTTAAGGAGATTGGATCCCGCATGGCCGACTGCACGTTTTGAGTCTCATACCCCATAGCTTGAGAAAGTTGCAAGATGCATTTGCATGTGTGCCCAAAATGCTGAAAGGAGGGGATGGAGGAGAAAAGACTGTAATGTGACCATTCCCCATGAGGAGTGTTTTCTCATCCCCTATCCCTTTCTCTCTCTCTCTCTGGCAAAATTAGAAAAAAAAAAAAAAATGCAAGAAATTGTGGTTTATTTCTGACAGCCAAATACTGAAATTTTGACGAGTGACTCACTTAAAATGATCAAAGAACGGGCTGAGCAGTGGCACAGTGGAAAAACTTGATCCTCTGAGAGGTTGACTTGTGTGGGAAGGCTCTAGGTTTGTGTTCAGAGACCTCCCTGAGTATGCTAGGCCTATGTGTGCCTATGCTCAAGCTGGGGACAGATGGTGGTGTCAGGATCTTGTTAAAGGTGCTGTCTCTCTCTTTCTCTGTGTCTCTATATTTCTGTCTCTCTTGCTCACAGAAGAATAAACAAAAATAAAATCTAATGAATGCTTCATAAACTCCAGCAACATAAGTCATTATGACCAGTAAGTTTCCTGATACATTCATGGAGACACCTTATAAAATGGTGAAAATGCAGAGACATAAAAACATGTTGGTTTTTTAATTTTCTATTTTCAATACATATTACATATGAAAACTATTTAAAAGTCCTATCTTGTATTAAAGAAAAGAAGTATTGGAAATATACCTTACACATTGATTGATGAGGTATTTCCAAACATCATGGTTTTACATTTTTATTTTATTCTCACTAGCTTTTTATTTCTTGTCTTTTTTCAGTAAGAAGCTCTGTGGCCCCTTCCCAGTCCCATTGCCTTTTACTTGTTAAAGGGTGGCAGGAAGAGTCGTCGGGAGAAAAGAAGCAATGCTCAGAATAAGTGTCTAAAATATGGTATCAGGAGGTGACACATGAAGGAAAAGGAAAGAAGAACATCATCAAATGTTGTCCGACCCACCTTTCATTTTAAAAGTGAAAACGACATACATCCAATAGAAAGGTGTCTAAAATTTGGAAAGAAATGTGCACACGTAAGTGTAGAGATTCACTTTTGTTCCCTGCGGAGGTTAGTAGTTTCTGCACACATTAATTCATTTGGCTAATATTTGTTGAGTGCCTACTATGTGCACAGCAGTGGATAAAAAAGCATCCCAAGATATTTCTTTCCTCCCCCTTTCCTCAGTTGCAAAAATGCAGCTCTTTCTCTTCCTTTGATATTGATGAATCTACTGCATTCTTTAATGGAAACCATGGCATAGAAGCCCACTAGAAAAGTGCACTGACCTGGATGAAATGCTTTGTTTCTGAGAGGTACAGCTTGGTCTTGCTCTTTCTCCCTCTCTCATTAATGACTCTTAATTCAGTCAGTGTAAAGAGAAGCGTAAGGGGTCTGTCTGTCGGGCTCCTTCCTTTTCTCCCCCCCCCCCCCAATTTTTTCTTCCATCTAAAATTTTTGTATC